GCTTAGCACAATTAAATGCTTAATAAATGCTTTATTCATTCATTCATTCATTTGCATTGGCAGAGAGAATTTCCTTACTAAGAGTTCTCTTACCTGAAGTTCCTTATGTCAATGGAATCATAGCTTGGGACCAAAATATCATATGGAAGAAGGGTTATGTTTGTTTTATTTGACCCCAAAGCCAGAAATAGTGGCCAGAGGTGGAAGTTGAAAAAAGGTAAATTGAGTCATGATGTAAGAGAGCTTCCTAACAATCTGATCTACTCAAAAATCCAGTGGGTTGCCAGGGGCACGCTTGGAAGACTCCTCCTAGAAGTCTTCCAACAGAGGCTGGATGATGAGTTGCCATGATAATTTTTGTTCAGTTATGGTTCATTTTGACCCTGAGGTTCTGTCATTTCATGACAAGAAAACCCAAGTAACCAGAACTTGGGGTTCCCTAACCATTCTGGTTAAATAAGGCTTTAATTTGTTTTCTTCACTATAAATCTATGTCATGTATCATTCTATGGATATGGTTTTATGAGGAAGGAAGAGTTCTCCAGCTGAATCAAGGCTGAAAAAAAGGAGAGGTGATTCGAAACAGAAACACAGGAGATCAGGAGGGAAAACCAGGAGTGTAATATGTGGCTGTATTTTACCAGATATAGGCATACACAAGTAAGCTTTCCAAAGAAAAGTTTTAATTTAAACCTTCAATCTTATCAGGTTTTTTGTTTGTTTGGTTGATTTTTTGCCTTATGCTGAGCTGAATTACCATATGACTGGAAAATCCCATAAATACGCCAACATGTCAGTGTTTTGTCAGAGTTTCATTACCATCACAAGCTAATTATTTTTAGAAGCAGAAGGATCATAACTATAGGATTATTGAAATAGCCATAGCTCACATAAACACCATGAAATATGATTTCCTAAAGCCCTTACTTTCAAAATTTTTTCCCTAGCAACAATGAATAGTATTACAAAAAGAAAAATTACTAATGAAGCTGGCAGGTATGTCAATTTGTTAGATGACAGAATTGGAATCCAAAAATTTCTTGGATAGGGTGGATTAATGAATCAAAACTAACAGGAAGAAATTTTAGTGATAAAGATAAAGTCCTTGCTTAGGTTCAAAAAACGAATGGCAAAAATAAGGTGGGGGATATTCACGTGGCTTGACAGGAATTCACATGGAAAGTATTTAAATTTTTAGTAGCTTGTCTCAACATGAGACATAGAATATATATCTATATCTATAACTATCTATCTTTCTATCTATCTGTCTATCTATCTATCTATCTATCTATCTATCTATCTATCTATCTATCAAAACATAGTTGCCAAAACATAAGTAAATATCATCTTAGGTATCTTAAATTAAAGTACACAGAGTAAACTGTTCCACTGCACTCCACACTGGACAGCTCACATTTGGAATGCCATGCTTGATTCTGGGCCCTCCATTTTAAGAGGGACCTTCACAACTGGAGCCTATCCAGGGAAAGCAAGCAGGATGGTAATGGATGTGGAAATCATGTCATATATGGAATGTCAAAAGCACCTGGGGATATTTAGCCTGAGAAGAAAAGATTTACAAGGGAATATAAGCATTTCAAATATCTGAAGGGTTGTCATGTGGAAAAAAAGACTTATTTTATAGGTTTCCAGAGGGCAGAAGGAGGATCATGGGAGAAAGTGGAAAAGTTTCAAGAAAGCAGATTTTGGCTCAGTGTTGTTGTTGTTTGTAATTTTAAAAGAATGGGCTGCCTTCTGAGGTAGTAAGTTCCTTTTCAATGAAATTGTTTGAACTGAGGCTGGCTGGCCACTTAGTAGGAACATTTGACAGGTAATTCCTGTATTGGTTGGGAGATTAAACTGGATAACCTCTAAATTCCCTCTCAATTCTTTGGTTCTATGACCTTAAGTCAAAAGATAAATAATTTTCTTCCTTGTTCTTCATGCCATTAATACATAAGTTTGAAGATATTTATAAATTGGAAAGCAATGTTTTTATTGGAAAATAAGATATCAGTTTGAATTTATTTTCCATTAACCCAATCCTTATTTTCTTTTCTATTTGCCTCTTCAATCCTACTAAAACACTTGACCATGTGTTTTTTTTACAATTGTCTACCTAACCCCTTAATTCAGCAACTAGCACTTCTCATTTCTCAGCACTATTCAAATGTCTACTATGTGACCTTGAGTTTAATCTCTTAACACCTCAGAAGTCACTTAACTTCTCTATGCCTCAATTTCCTTATCTGTAAAAGTGAGGGAGTTGAATTGGATTGCTTCTAAGGTCCCTTGCAGTTGTAAATCTATGATCCTAAGTTCTTCTATCTCTTCATTCTAGAACATTACTTATGCTGTGCACCTCACCTAGAACACTCATTTCCCTTCTCCTTTCTTTCCCTTTCCCCCACATTCAAAACTCAGCTTCAGCCTCTCCTCTTGCACCAAATTTTTTCCAAGTATATTTCACTTGGGCTCAGTCATAACAGTACATTCCTTGCTAACCTTCTTTACTATTAGGCACTTCTATGTATTACCCAAGAATCGTTATAGCTGGTTCAGTACCATGTATGTTTTTATCATTGGACTTTATACACTGGAATTCATTATAGCACTACTCACCCTGGAGGACTAGGTAAAAGTCAAGCCAACAGTTTTAGTTACCTACACACTGAAAAGACTCTTTTATAAAGTGGATTCACTTAAGAAGTGATTCCACAATGAAGAAAGACTAGAGTATTGTAGCAACGACTCTTGTATATGTACATATTTAGTTTTATTCCATTTTTTGCTTGAACTGAAAGGTCTTTGAGGATGGCAACTATATCTTCCAGTTAATATTTCATTTTCTACTGTGTTTATAGTAATATAAAGTTCTGTACTCAGTAATAGTTAATAAATGAATAGCAAGGCAAATAATGATAAAATGGGCTTGGCAACAAGATGTTAGCACTTTCAAGTGGAAAGGGTGGGAGTTATCGTGTGGAATCTTAGGTGCTTGATTAGAATCCTAGCTCTGCTCTTTCTGTCTGTGTGACCTCAAGCAAATCACTTCACCTCCATAGTCATCAGCTTCCAGATTCACAATCTGGGCTATGGCAGTAATGAGATTTGTGTCAAATGAATTTACAAAAGAGAAATGTATGTACATGTGGGGGATCTTCCTCAACCTATATTTCCTATGATGTGAATGTTAAAAATCATATACATTTTCCTCTTTGGCTAGTCTTTCAACTGTTTCTCCATTTAGAGTTTTCCAAATTCTTCCATTGGTTCAATAATTGCCAGGATTATTTCAATATTACAGGTGTAATCTACAGTTTTAGATGTCTATCTTTGGGCCTTCACCCTGAAACAGAGTAGCATTCCTTTGTATTTTCTTTAGAATTTGATCATGCTCTGACATTTCCTTGCTACTAAATTCTTTTACTCTCTTTCTTATTAATTAATGTATAGATTCAGAACATCATACTTCTTTGCCTCTTCCACATTTTCATTTCTGCCATGGCTATACTGTAGGAAATTCTTTTTAGGGTATATTTTTCTGGCCACTTCCCATAAAAGTTAATTTCCTAAAGAAAGAGTAAATAAATAAAACTTTAAAATCATTTCTCATGCAGTCTCTTCAATAGATTAAAATAAAAACATTTACAGAGCAAGCACCAAAATGTAGCCTTTATTTTTTTTTAAAGTATTGGGTATTTGTCTTAATTGTTTGTTTTTAGTAAAAAAACCGTTAGCTTCTGAGTACTCTTTACACTCGGGTTTCTTAAAATTTCTTCCCTTTGTGGTCTAGTCTTGGAACTTGCCAAATGGTTACTCTCCTAACATTCTGGTCTTTTATTTTAAATGGTGCTCAGTAACACAAGCTCTCCCTTATAATAAATAAGGGCAGTCAAGCAAAACAAATCTATATTTTGGCCCTATCTAAACATGAGCGACTCATTTTGCATCTCTAGTCCATCATCTTTCTGCCCAGGGACAGGAGGCCATTTTTTTTTATCAGTCTTCTGAAGCCATGATTGGTCAGCTCATGAGTCCCGAAGTCTTTAGAAACTAGGTTTTTTTTTTCTGTTCATTTTAAAACTGGAAGAAATCAGAACCTATAATTTAATTTAATTTTAATTATCTTTCTTTTGGGGGAGAAGAAATCATATACCTGGGTTCATAATCAAAGACTGATAGCCAACACATGAAAGAACAGTTGAAACCTCTTGGAAATTCAGTAGGGAGCAAAAAAATTATCATTTCAAAAGTTTTTTTTGTAAGTGAAAGGAAAAATTTCTTAAATACTCAGAGAATGGAGATGAATAAAAAGCAAAGTTGCCAGTTCCCATGGTTACTTTGTGCCATTATTTGAGCTAGTGATTCAAACAAGGTTCTGGTCTCTGTCCTTTAGTGACCAGATCAATTCACTATTATTTCAGGAGGAAGCGGGGAAAAGTAAATGTCCAATTACAAAAAGTTTCTCATAAAGATAACAGGGGATGCGTTTAAAGGAACGAAGTCTACCGCTTATGCTAACAAATCTTGGTGGTGTGCGTTTGCAGGGTAGACTTGTGGAAGAAAACACTGACACCTTTAAAGAGAAAAAGAGTCAGAATAACCAATAGGCACCGTGAGCAGTAGTCTTGCCCGAGACAGCATTGACTTTAGAGTCTGAGGCTCTGGGCTGGAATCCCCTGCTCAGCCACCTGAGTGACCTTAGGCACATCTCCTCGACTCTCTGGGCTTCAGTTTCCTCATCCATAAAGTGAGGGATTTGAAGGAGATGACATCTAAGGTCCTTTGCAGACTGGAGTCTAATGAAAGTGAAGCGCCTATATAGGGAAAGACTGGAGAAAAGATAAGAGAGGCAGGCAAAGGAGACAGATGCCCAGAGAGCCCCAGCGAGTTATAACTGCAAAGAAAGGTGCGTCCCTATGCCCGTTTGGCAAGACAGGGCAAGGCGCCTTCCCTACTCCAGAAGCAAAGACCCCGGATCTGCTGGCCAAACGCACCTTGAGCCCACTGGGAAGCAACTTTGGACACGCAGCATCTCCCTCGGCTGGAGCTGGTAGCGCTTTGGAATTCTTCGAAAGGACGAACTTTCCAAGATAATGCTGGACCAACTCGGAGCCAGGAACGAAGCCCGGGCTTCTCTGCCAGTGATGACGGCACGGACCTGCTGCCAAAGCAGCTTCTTTGGCTGGCTTAGCCTTGCGCAGAGCTCCGAAGGGACTCAAGGTTTCGTAGGCGCCGGGACTTGGGGGCTTGTGGGGCTCAGGGCCAGCTTGGGAACCCAGCTCTGTCTGTCTGGGGTCTGGAGAACGAGCCCCCGCCTGTGGTTCTATTCACACTTATGCACGCATTTTACTGCCCAAAGGGTAGAAGACAGAGCGCAGGTCGCGAAGCCCCGAAGCGCTGACCGCTCCACCCCGCTGCAGCCACTCGCATCCTGGCCTCAGGGGCTCTGTTGGGTTTCCACCCACAGCGCCTGAAGCTCCTCCCTCTTCCGAACAGCGCCGCCCAGACCTCGGCCAGGAACTGGACAGCAGCTCACGTCCTTCTGCCAGACCCAGAGAGGGCCGGGGCAGCCACAAGAGCGCAGATCTCTTACTGGCTTACTGGCTTCACCACTTCCAACCCCCTCGGTGGATCAAGGTCATCTGGGGCAGTGCAACCCCTTTCTCTACTGCCCTGGATTGAGCTGGAGGCTGTCTGCTCAGACACCTGAGCTGCCCACTGTGCTGATCTTTGAAACTTGGGGGTTGGGATGGAAAAAGTATGGGCTCACTCATTATACTGGTTACCCACGGGTCCTCACCAATTCAGGGATTTTGAAAGGAGGTAAAAATAGTTCTGGATAGTTGGCATTGTAGGGACTGCATAACAAGTCCAAAGGTGGTAGTTCAAGTTTTACTCTCATTTTTACAGATGTGGAAACTGAGGCTGAAAAAGCTAAAGAGAACACAAAACCAGTTTTTGAAGGAGGGCAGTCTGCGTTCAAATCTGGAAATTTCCCGAAATTTTCATTTTTCCTCTACACCAACTGCCTCCATAGGTGGGAAAAGGATGGAATTTAGAGGCTTCCCTATTTCCATGTTTTTTTCCTTGCTCTCCTTTCTCTATATATAAAATGATCAACATTATTTTTCCACATAACCTTCCTCCCTCTACAAAAATGTCCCAAACTGGGAAACCTGTATGTTGTGTGAAGATTGCTGAACTCTTATGTCAAAAGCTCTGAGAATTCAGGGCTTCTGCATGTTTCCCCACCCATAAAGGGAGGATTGCTTCCCTTACCTGTCTTACAGGGCTGTTGTAGGAATTAAACAATAATCACTTGAAAAAAGAAGCCCTTTATAAACTATGTAAAGCACTATAAAAACCATGGTGCTAATTTCCTTTAGTCACATCACTTACCTGGTGAATACTTTTTCAGTGGCTTCCCACTGCCTACAGGATAAGGTCCAAACTTCTTGGCCAGCAAATTAAGGCTAAAAATAATCTGACAATTGTCTAGCCTTATTATTACTCCTATACAGAATCCTCTAATGAGATGGGTAACTTTTCCCTATTTCTGAACCTCCTTGTGTTTGTACTTATCTCAACATAGGGAATATTTGTGCCCTACCTGTGCTAAAGCATTCAGAGCTTGCGTTGGTTTAATCAGCCACAGTCCCAACACACTATACCTTGACTCCAACATAGTGATGTCATTTTGGTCCTATTCCAGAACGAAGGACAACAACCTTCTATCCTTCTATCTAAATGTTACTCATTTATCCTTCAATGTATAGCTTCCTGAAAGCCCACTTCTGGCATGATATAATTACTGCCCTTGATTTCTTCCTCTTCAGAGCTTCTATAGTATTTTGCAATCCCTGACCCTCGTTTTGACACAATCATACACTGTACTCAGGTTAGAATCAGGTGGTATTCCCAAAGGTCCTTTGGAATACCTTCCCTGGGCAATTCAGAGAAATCCATTTGGCCAGTAATATAAAGAATGTATAGCCTAAATTCTGGGTTCCCAAAGCAGGGGGCCATAAAGGATAGGAATCAAACAGTCCCAGGTCTATCATCTTTGATTCTTGTCATGGCTCTGCTTCAGACTTTCTGGACTTTGCCACAATACCCCCATATAAGTACTTCTCCTTTTCCCACCCACTCCCCATTTTCCAGCTTCCTTTTATGTGCCGTCTTCCCCATTAGGATGTAATCTCCTGTAGGGTAGGAACTGACCTTCCTTTTGCTTGTGTAGTGAGGTTGTCCCCTACAAGCAGCATGGAGGTGTCACATTGTGGCTCAAGGGAGGCAAAATGGACGTCTGTAGACAATTCTCCCCATCCTCCACTCCCCTCTCTTCAAGGGAGGGTTTACTTCCTGCTGAGAGGGAAAGCAGGAGGTTGGGGCCAAAAGTTTAACTCTCTGCTTTCCTAATAGAGAGGGAGCACTTGAAGAGATATCTTTATGCTCTCTTAAATATTATTTGTCTAAGAGATACACTTTTCAGGATCAGGCTAAACTTCTGAGAATTATTGATTAATGAGGGAAACAGCACTCCAACCTTTATATCCAAGACTTGTCTTGAGGAATAACAAAACAGAAAGTGAAGAAACTGTATGTAGGAGAATATATACCAGACAATACAGAATGAAGAAGCTCTCCCTTTGGGATTGAGGTAACAGCCTGAGAGAGAGAGAGACACAGAGAGAGAGAGACAGAGAGAGAGAGAGAGAGAGAGAGAGAGAGAGAGAGAGAGAGAGAGAGTCCCAGATCTCAGCCAAGGGGAAAGTCCCGTCCCTGAAATCTGTAGTTTAGCAATCCAGGGATAGGGACATGATGGAGACTGTTGGCTTCTTTCATGTCGGTTTCTTCCCAGAGGCTTTTCCCTTCAGCGATCTGAACAGCTATCATCATCTTCCATCATCTCTCTTGAAGTTCAAGACCAGAAGCACCTGAAGTGACTACAGAGACTGAAGAGTCTCAGAGAGCCTGCCAATCTTCTCTCCTGTCTGTTCTTCTCTGCCTCACACAGGTGCAGGGCATTGATCTCCACCAGTGAGGAGAGAATCCCATACCAATGGGCTTCGGGACTCAGGTTACACTTAAATTTGTATCCCTGGTGATTAGCACCAGCCTGACACATAATAAGGCTTAACAAATGCTTGTTGCCTTGCCTTGAGGTTGTTCCCTGAATCTAACATGTCATCTTCTGCCTCCAAGCATTTACCTAGGTCATCCCTCAAGGGCACTCCAACAGTCTCCTGTTTCTCAGATTCGATAAGCAGAAATTTATCTTCATTCTTGAGATCACTATAAAGTATTTGCTATAGAACTACATGGCACTTTACTCACTGCTCTACAGTCAGTGTTGCTGCTTTTCATATAGTAAAGTTTGAAGCTGGAAAGGACCCTAGAAAATATTGAGACCAACCTCATTACTTACAGAGAAGTGAGCCAAGGATCATAGCAATGAAGTGATAAGTATCCAAGATGACAAGTAGGGTTATTGGCAGTTAGGATTTGAACCCAGGCCAGACTGACTCCAATAGAGGATTCTGACAACAGTTGTTTAGCAGCCTAAGAGGAACTAAGCTTAGTACCCCACTGGCAAGAATAATTAATTGAAATAGAGAATGTTTGTGAGAAAGTAAAAAACTCACTTTTCTTACCAGGTAAATGGGAGGGGCTGATTCTTTCCAGATTAGGTTTTTCTTCCCCTATTAGGTATCCCTGGAGGTGAGACCTACCCTTGGTCTATGCCCTGCTCTACTCTGTTGTTGTTCAGTCCTTTCAGTCTTGTCCAATTCTTTGTGACCCCATTTGGGGTTTTCTTAGCAAACTTCCTGGAGCAGTTTGCTACTTCCTTCTCCAGTTCATTTTACAGATGAGGAAACTGAGGCAACAAGGGTTAGAGGACTTATCCAGGGTCACACAGCTTGTAAGTATCTGAGGCTAGATTTGAACTCAGGACTTCCTGTCTCCAGGGGCAGGTAGGTGGTACAGTAGAGTGCTGGGCCTGGAGTTGGGAAGATTCATCTTTCTGAGTTGAAATCTGGCCTCACACACTAGCTGTGTGACCCTGGGCAAGTCACTTATCTCTGTTTCCCTCAGTTTCTGCATTTGTAAAATGAGCTGGAGAAGGAAATGTCAAACCACTCCAGTATTTTTGCCAAGAAAACCCCAAATGGGGTCATGAAGAGTCCAAAAGGACTGAAATCACTCAACAACTTCCTGACTCCAAGCTCAGCACTGGATGGCACATTTGGAGCAGAATGGAAGCTGGAAACAGGGGCTGAACTCCAAGCCACATATAACCCCTTTTAAACAATAGCTTGTTTTCGCCTAGAATAAAGGAGAAAAAGCCCTAATCTAGGTTAGTTCTACCTTTTGGGAAGTTTATCAACATTATTAATAATCAAAACCATAAAACTCTTACAATCAACTTGCCCCCAGCTAGTGATCCACAGCCTTCTAAGGAATGGTCTAATTGTCTAATGTAGTTTTTTTTTTTTTTTTTTTAGGCAATTGGGGTTAAGTGACTTGCCCAGGGTCACCAGCTAGTAAGTGTCAACTGTTTGGTCTGACACCGGATTTGAACTCAGGTCCTCCTGACTGCAGGGCCGGTGCTCTATCTACTGCACCACCTAGCTGCCGCCAGATGTAGTTTTGTTTTGTGCAAACCAACTTAGTAACTTTCATCCTCCATTACAGTCCTCCTTTGTACACAATTAATATATCGAGATGCATCACAAAGAAATGATGATCAATTATAGTTTTTATGTGATAAAAAAATCAGAAAATACAAACAGCTTAAAGAAAGAGGGGGTAAAATCATATAAAGCACCTTCCAACAATAGGTGGCACTGTGGATAGAGAGTTGGGATGAGTTAAACCTTGAGCAACTTTCCTGTTGTTCTTAAAGGGTCACATGCCTACCCCAAGTATGAGAAGACTTCCCCCAGTAGAATGGGTGGATGAGAACTATTTGTTCCAATGGCCATGAAGGTGACTGAAGCAGGCACTGGGGAGCGCTTAGAGCTTTCTCAGGCATGGAAGATGTCAAGGTCATCCACTGC